AAAACACAATGAGGTTTCATTTAAATAAATAAATAGACAACTACTGCTCTGGAGGCTCTGGATGTGAACCAGCAACAGCAGCGTTAAGCCATTTCAAAGCAAAGTGAATGCGATTTTCACACCTATTCTTTTTTAATTTACGTCCATTTGAAATCCGAGCACCATTCTATTACTAATTTGTTATGGCAATATTAATTAATGGTTTTGCTCTACAGCAGTAAGAATGCAGTTTAGACTGAGTGAGATAGATTAGAAGGACTAAAAGATTAGAAAAACAATCTGTAAACTGGTCAGATGCAGTTGGGGGTCACCTTGATCTCCTGAAATGAGTACACTGCACTTGGAAAGCCTGGGAGCGTGTGGATGTATTTCTACCAGTGCAGACTCATTGGGGCTGGTTAGGTCAGCACCCTTTGATGTTGTCTCCTGTTTTAGAATATAAGAACATTAGCTCCCAAGTTGGGGAGAAACAATTGTCAGACTTCCATAAAAGCTGATAATTGAAGAAATTGTATATTTTTTGATGGACAATATGAGTTCAGACCGAGTATGCTAGGAAACAAGGAGAAGTATTTAGTGATTTAGAGAAGGTACACAGTGATGTGTTGTAATTTCCATTCTCCTGACTCTATTGCTGCCATTAGTCTAGCAGATCTCCAGGCTCCTATCTTGGCTGCTCTGATCAACATGGTGTGCCCAGCCTCAGACCATCAATAGTATTTATCTTGCACTTCAGTGGCATAGCACAGATCTGGTTTAAGGAAGAACAGTAGCTGGCAGATTGATGGGGAAATTTTTTGACCATTTGAGATGGTTCTTGGATTATCTCAGCTACCTTCTATTCACCTAATCATGGGCAACAACTCAGGTCCCCCAACCATCATTGTACCTGTATGAGAATCACAGAAGTGGATCAAAGCACTGTTGATAGCAGTGAAGAACCCTCAATTTCAATTATTTTGGCTTTAAATTATGAGATTAAACATTTTTCCTGGTATAAAGTGTGATATGCTTTTGTTTATTTTTTGGGTATAATTTTGCAGTCAACCCAAACACATTGTGGAACAATCACAGGGAAGAAAATCAGAGGCACAGTGATGTTCTTTTAAGAAAGCACCAGTATTGTAAAATGCTCACAATTTCACAGGGAGTTTTCAGCATTGGCAGGTGAGGGGAAGGAGAGGCAGCTGAAGGAGCAGGTTGGACAGCAGCTGCCCCAGGGAATTAATCCATTTCTGGCTTCGCTATTCTTGCATTTCTTTGTTTTGCCTGAATTGGAAGAGATCAAGGTGGCAGGTTTTTACAACTATGCTCTGCGTTTCCTGGCAGTTCAGGAAGCCTTCTGTGTAGGCAGCAGCTCTCAGGACAGACTGGAGGATATGGTGCCTCTTTTGGCATTTTACATTGACTCTTCCTTGGTCAGAAGGAAAAGTGGCTGGCCGGA